GGAAAATGGTGTTTCGGTAAAAAAATCAATCCATGAAATGAAGTGGGGGGGGGAAGCACATGATCCATTCAGTTGATGCGTAAAAAGCATTTAACAAACTATAACACCATTTCATGATAAAATACACACACACACACACACACACACACACACACACACATTGAAAACTAGAAATAGAATGAAACTTCCTCAGCATTATAGAGAACATTTATGAAGAACTCATATCTAAAATCATACTCAATGGTGAAAGACAGTGCTTTCTCTCTAAGATCAGAGAGAAGAAAAAGATGGCTGCTTTCATCACTGCTATTAGCATCACTATTTAACATTGCACGGAAATGGTGGTAGAAATGGAGATTTTGCATGGGCTCACATAGCCACTGTTGAGTGCTCAATCTAACACCAACAGAAACCAATGCTGATATGACACCGTCCCTGGGGTGATCAGTCAGGTACCTGGTGGCAGATTGATTACGCTGAACCACTTTCATTGTGGAAGGGACAGCATTTTGTTCTTATTGGAATAGACAATTACTCTGGATATGGACTTGCCTTCCTAGCACTCCATGCTTTCACCAAAACTACCACCCACAGACTTAAGTATGTCTTATGTACCACCATGATATTCCTTACAGCACTGCTTTGACTCAACGAACACACTTCACAGCAAAGGAAGTGCAGCAATGAGCCATTGGGCCCATGCTCATGGAATTCACTGATTTGATCATGTGCCCCACCATCCTGAAATAGTGGGCTTGTTAGAATGATGCAATGACAATTTGAAGACTTAGTTAAAATGTCAGATAGGTGGTAGTGTCTTGCAGGGATGGTGCAAGGCTCTCCAGAAAGCTGTATATGCTCTGAATCACCACAATTACAAGAGAACTCAGTTACAGAAGTGAGGACTGTAATTGTCATGAGGATTTTCTCTTCATTTTATTGTAACTGTATGTGTGTGTGTGTATACATATATATCACACATCTATTGTATATATATATCAATGTTATATCAGAGCATTTAAGTTATGGGATATCAAGAATAGTAAACATCACTCAAGGACTTTACTTCCTCTTCTAGGGAATGGGTTAGTGCATGTTTGGTTGAATGCAGGATAGTTGTATCCTATTAGGCAGCATTATGGCCTTGTTATTGTCTTTATTTGGAGGTTTAGTATGGTTTAAGGAGATGCATATTGGTGTCAAGTTGACAAGGGGTGGACTTGTAATTATTAATCGTATGTATCAACTTGACTGGCCACAGTGTACCAGATTAAACATTATTTCTGGGTGTGGCTGTGAGAGAGATTAGCATTTGAATGAGATTAGCATTTGAATCAATGGGCTCAGTAAAGTAGATGTCCTCCTCAATGTGGATGAACATCATCCAGTCCATTGAGGAACATAGTAGAACAAAAGAAGGAGGACTTTGCCCCCTTTTTTTCTTGAGCTGAGACATCTCATCTTGTCTTCTCCTGCCCTTGGGCTTCTACAAAATTATACCATCTGCTTTCCTGGGTCTCCAGCTTACAGACAATTAACTGTGAGACTTCTCAGCCTCCATAAATGTGTGAACCAATTTCTCTTAATCTCTCTCTCTCTCTCTCTGCCTCTCTCATACTCTCTCATATGTATGTGTATATACACATACATACATACATCTTATTGTTTCTGCTTCTTTGGAGAACACTAATACTTTTAATCATTTTGTCTGAAATAATTATCACAATCTCTCCAATCTAATGCAGACAATATTTAAATTATGTGATCATGGTTTACAATTATACAACTTATTGGGAGACATTTGAACAAGATATAGGTCCTCAGATTACAAATATAATTGATGTTCTCTCTAAAGTGCGATTATCTGTAGACATTTTAAGCCTAAAGATGTCAAACATACAAACCTTTAGAAAGCCAATAAAATTATGGTATACAGCAGTGGTATTTCCTTGAATGGCAGAAAAAAATAAAATTTAACTTACAGAAGACATTATTCTAGTATAAAGAAATGTGAATGGAGTTATCTTCTAATGATATGAGGAAGAAATATTTTCACATTCAGCTGAGGAGCTGAAGGGCAAATAACTCCATTTGTGGAATTTGATGAGCCCTAAAATGCGAGTAATTTCTCTTTATCTATAAAGAGAGCCGTGAAAGTCTCAACATAAGTCTAGTTCCCATTTGGTCCTCCTGTCAATATGATTAACTGAAGTCTTTAGGTGGTTATTATGAGTTCTAATAAGGAGTCTGTGAGTGAATTTTTACAGTCTTTTAGAGTAACACTTCTGCTTACCGAACTCTGAAGCAAACATTTCAAGCCAACAGACACAAAACTGTTAGTGAAAGTACAGTTTTCCAAAATATTACAATCCACTCCTTAGACATAGAATGTGTTATTGAGGGAAGACTATGTTGGCTTTCATATGTGGGAGTTTTCTCCTAGGTCAGGAGATACACATGAGCGGTTGAAATCTCAAGGCCTCCTACATCCACTTGGACTGTCATGATTCTCCAAGTACATGGTGCCTTAAAAAACTAATTCCCGGTCTTCCCTGGTGGCACAGTGGTTGAGAGTCCACCTGTCGATGCAGGGGACACGGGTTCGTGCCCCGGTCCGGGAAGATCCCACATGCCGTGGAGCGGCTGGGCCCGTGAGCCATGGCCGTTGAGCCTGTGCATCCGGAGCCTGTGCTCTGCAATGGGAGAGGCCACAACAGTGAGAGGCCCGCGTCCCACAAAAAACAAAAAAACAACAACAACTAATTCCCGAAGCTCACATTGTACCTTGCTGAGTCTTCATACACCACACATTACTGAAAATAATTGAAAAATAGCAAGGAACTAATGAAAAATCCAAACTTTAATTTGGCCAGCCACTGGAAGCTGTGTATCTCACTTTCTAAATCGAAATTCCTTATTTTAAAATAATTAAATATCAATTTACTCTCTTTAAGTTTTTCAAACTACTTTAGCTAAAACCAATGGTTCAATTGTTTGCTTCAAAAAGAAATATGAATATGTATATTCTTGTAAATTTTAAAATTCAATTTTTATCATCTTCTATTCTTGCATTAAACTTTTTTATCAAATGATGAGTTTAAGTAGATAAAATATCACCATTAAAAATATATTTACCTAGGTATACACATACATACATGTGCACACACACCCACTACAGATCAACCCAAGAACAGCCCTCATGTTGATTTTCAGCTTAACTCCACTCTTAGGTTTGTACTTGAAGCAACTGTTTAACATAAGGTGAAATATATTGCAATTAAACTTTGAAATATTTTTAGGAAAGTGATGGCATCAAAAGAAAAGGGTAAAACCAAGATTTGCATATCATACCATTTTAGCTTCTTCTTTTCTGTATTCTTATGTAAAAAATGCTTTTTTTTCCTCCTGATGTTTCTTTTTAAACATCTTTTTATTATCCTTTTCAGTGGGTAAACTGATTTACTGTCTTGCTGCCTAAGCACTGCTACTGGTGAACGGACCTTATCTCTGGCCTAATATTGAATTTTTTGTTGTTGTTTTTGCTTTTTGTTTTTTTTTACTTCATTTTGATTTTGGACACCTGGATCTCCTTGTATCTATTAATGGGAAATTTGAGTGACTGGAAAATATCTAATACAGTATTTAGTACTTGTGTATCTTTAGAACACGTCCAAAGATATAGTGAAAAAAAGTGAAATTTTTTTTGAAGGAAGGCTTATGATATTTTTTTTTCCTATTCAATACAGAGCAAAAGGAGATTTGACCAATATTTAGCTCATCTGATACCATCGTCTCACCTGATTTCATTATGTCATGTAGTTCCAGTTGTACACATTGATCTGCAGCATCCTGCGATTTCCCAAAGTAGAAGCCATATTATGAAATTAAAAGGCTTTTATCAAGGTATTATGTCTGTTTATCAATGAACGTGTGAAATAAAATCATTGCTTTCTAAGTGAGACCAAACCTCATGATGGCAGGCAAATCACCCTGCCAAATCAGCACCACATCACACAAATTTCTCAGACTATGCCACAGTGCAGAGATGGCATAGGGTCTGATCTGCCTTGGTAATGAATTAACCTCACCCATGAGTGTATTTATACTACACACCCGTCTGAGAGATTGTGTATTATAAATGATAAAAAAATGAATTGGGTTAAGAAAATTGTTATGATCTCCAAGGGTCCTTCAATGCCTGCATTATATGATTCTAAGACTCTTACCTAGAAAAGATCTGATTTAATTGACCAAATATGTTTGTCTATTCAAATTAACAGTTACTGCAAATGTGAATCCTGGACTGGAGAATTGATAAAGTTAATTGTGTGAATGTTTTCTTTCCAGGCAGACAATCAAGAGAGTTAATCATTAAAAGCTTTTTGAAAATGGAGGTTATTGGATAATACAGTCTAATTATTCTACCTAAATCACAGTATTCTTGAATATTATTAATATTAGCCTTTTTTTCTACTTACCCTCTCATATTATTTTATTAGCCCAAACCTGATGTGGATAGACTCCTTCTAGCATTTCCAATCGTGATAAGTTTTAAAAGGAACATCAATTGTATATAAATAAAACTCCATATACATCCAATATTTAAGGGTAAAACAACATTAATAATATCTATTTTATATCTAATACCTCTCATTAGTTTTGCCTGAGGTTTTCAATGTCTTTTAAAATATCTTTTAATTCTTAAATTCCGCTTTCATCCTCCTTCTTCCAAGCAATTTGTTTGTAGAAGAAACCAGGTAATTTATCCTATATAGTTTCATACACTCTGGAGATATTAATTTTTACTAAGAATTCAACCAAAATGCTATTAATACAATGCTAACCATTTAGCATCATATTTCACTTGTTATTTTTCCAAGGTTCTTTTACAGGATCTGATTTGATCCATTTGGTCCTTCCATCATAAGTAAAATCCTTAATGAGAATGGCACCTCTAGGGAACCGTAATGAGATACGAGATTAAAGAAGCCATGTCAATTGCATGGGTTTGGATTTATGGCAAGCCCGTTCCTCTGGGCCTCTCATAGTGTCCCACGTCAGAGCAAACTGGCCCCGAACCATTGCCTGGCCTCTGTCTGTAGGCCACAGGCACTGAAGTGGTTTGCACAGTGGAAAAGAAAAGGGGAAAAAAAAAAAAAAGAAGCCAGGTCAGACTGGTCATATGTTTACCCTTAGTTGTTTGAGGTCGGCTGCTGAAAGCTGAGTTACCATCAAGGTGAGATCCCAGGAATGCTTATCAAACTTCAGCGGCAACAAGCAAGGCAAAATTATTTTAAAGAAATACTGAGTTTTAAAACTATGGAAGAAGCAAAGACAACAGGATGCAAATCAAGGGAAGATTTGAGCAAACAATTTAATAGAGGCATAGCCATAGCCAGTACAAGTATATGGAAACAATTTTAAGGAATATTTCTTCTAAAGCCAAGTTTGAAGTTTTATATAAATCTTAACAGACTGGGCACATATTAGGTTACATTGGAAATCCAAATATTAATTTCCTAATTTTATGGAGAAAGTATTAAGCTCAGATTGATTTCTTATTTGAATAATTCTTTAATTTCAGCATACTGCTTTCAAATGATCTTAGTGTTTTTAATTCTAACATTCTATGTTGCCTAGACCAAGAAAACTATTAGTTTCAAAAACATATTTAGCATTCCCCCAAAAAACAATTTGATACCTACATAATCAACCAAAAGGATTTTTTTTTAATTCTAAGTTTATTAATCAACCAAGTTTGGAATCCACTGCTTAGATCAGACCAAACCTCACAGTTCTACCTCTTTTTATTTTATTGTTTGTTTGTTGACACATTTAAATGATAGAGACCAGAAGTAACAAGATATACAGAAAAATTTTCTTATTTCGGAGTCAACCTTGTTTTTCAAACTTGGGCAACTTAGCTTCTAAGAGCCTCCCTTTCCTCTCCTTTAAAATAGAATTTAAAATACACACCTTAACCATGAGTATTAAATCAAATAATTTAAGAGACTGGATGGTAGTAAGTACTCAATAAATGTTAGCTCTTAATCTTCTTTTAATCAGTAATGCATTGCTTAAAAAAACAGGTGCACTAATGGCTATATTTAATACAGGCATAATTTTGCCATTAATTATTTGTAAAAATAAAAGAAGCAATGAGTAGGTTTATTTTAATTCATTTTTAAACATATAGGTCTTGCTGTTGAGTTTATTAATTCATGCGTTTATGTTCAGGGTAAATTAGGGTCCTCTAGAGAATCAAGGGATATTTCTTTTCTTCAATAACAAATCATTTCTAAAAGGGAAACTTAAAAAGCATCTGCAAGCTTTGAAGATTATAACATTTGCTGGTGTAAACATGGGAGAATACATGTAATATATATTACTAGTGGCCTGTTGGTCAAAGAAGTCAGAAATGCTCCCAGAGGTAAAATAACTGTGAGAGGCACATTTAACAACAAATAAGGTAGGAAAGAATTTTCCATGACCTTCTTGTTCTTGTCTCTTCCAGTCTCAACTAGTACATTAATCACTCAGACAACGAGACACACTAAACAGCTGGCCTGAACATCCTGTGAAGTCCTGGAGTTTTCATAATTGGTGTTGGCTAGTAGTGCTAGCCCAGGGATACTCAGGATGGCTACACTGAACGTGGAGATGCAAAAGATTTCTTCATTTGTCTGCTCCTCCAGGGAATCATTTGTTTGGAACCTGGAACCAACTGAGATTTTCTGCTATACAAGTAGCCTTTAGGTTATCCAACCACACTCAGCATGGGTTTGGCTTGCCAACGAAAACCTCCCTGCTTCAAATTCTAAGATTTTCCTTTATACTTAAATTTCACATCTGGTAGCAGATTGCAAGCTTTTCAACCCCCACACAATTTCTACTTTTTCTGGGAAAGGGGATTACTAACCACGTAATTCAAACTAATATTATCTCTTTTTACAGAATTAATGAGAAGCTGTAATTACCAACACTGTTTACCTGTTACTCTGGGAGTATATTTCCAAGGCACATGAATTAGCCATCGTCAGCTTTATAATTAGCGTGTGACAACTTTAATTCCAAAGGCACGTTTAATCAACAGCCACAGATGGAAATGCGCCTAGTGGTAAGTCATCCCCTTAACAGCTCCTGATAGTGAGTTTGTTCCACTGGCTCTGAATTATAAGCTATTTAGCATAGTAAGTGCTAAATTGCTGGTAATATTCTCCATCTTTTTTGGGCTATCAGAGTTACAATACATGAAAGTAATTATAATCACTGACATGTATGAGTACTCACTACATACTAAACACTATTATTGTTTTAACTTAATGAAGACTCCAAATAACCCCTTATATTAGGTAATTTTAATATGCCCATTTTACAGGTGAGAGAATTGAGTCTAAGAAAATCGAAGTGACTTTCTAAGAGTTCCACAGCTCTTAGCAGTAGGGTCAAATTTGGATTCACTATGCTCGTGCTGTAATAAAATACCTTTGTTATCCTCAATCGTATGGGTCTGTTTAGTGGTTTTGGATTCTGCTAAAAAGTTTGTGTTATTTTGTGGATCTTATGATTACAGGATCCAGTTTTTCTAACTTTTCTCCTCACAAGGAGCAGTCATATACATAGAGGACAGCAGCTGTCTGCTTGGTCCTTTTATTAATTCTACAAACATGTATTAACTCAGTCAGTCACTGTGCAAAGTTTGGACTCACCATTATCTATCTTGAATAGCAGCTGCAGAAACTTTTGGGGAACCCTCTCAGAGATGTTCTTTCTACCTCCCAGAGATTCACTGAAGTTACCTTCACCAAGCCTACCATATATACAGCACCTTGTGACTTTACCTCCAGCCCCCATAAGCCAGCCCCTTCTAGGGTTTCACCACTGCAGGAAAAAGATGATCCAGCAGGCTCGGATCTCCATTTCTAAAGTTCCCAGACTTAAGATATCAAATCAGATGCAGGGAAGGGATGCCAAAGTTTAGGAGTTTGGAGCACTTTGACCTCTCCCTATCAAAACACAATTTCTCCTTCCCCACTCTACCTCAGGGGACAGTATAGACTAAACATATCTAGACCTGGTACCAGTGATTTTTAAACCTATCCTAAACATTGAGATTATTTGAGGAATTTAAACAAAAACCTCAGCAAGTGTGCCCAAATCCATACCGGTTATTCAAAATCTCTGGGGGTGTGGCCTGCACATCTCTCCCTGTGAAAACTTCCTCATGTAAATGTCATGTCTAGCTGGAGTTGGGATGTATAGCTTTAGACATTCAAGCACAGCGGGTTCTTTAATGTTTTTCTGAAGAAAAATGTTGTTGTGTGTTTATATTAACTCCCAAAAGTCATGGGTAAATTGCCTGTAATGGTCATTTCTTAGGCACAGAAAGTGGAATCTGAAAAGGTTCTGGTCCCTACAATGATTCTGAGGGGGTTTGTCCCCTCTAATTTAGAATGTGTTGTTGTTAGAGAAATGACAACTGCCACGTGATCACACAAATACCACTTTCATTTCTTTGTAATTAACCTCGGGATGACCTTTATTCATTTTGGAAATGTAGAAATATCTAGCTGCCAAACATGGTTTAATAGCCTTAGAATTAAAAAAGAATACATTAGATTTTTTTCCTTTTTTGGTCCTCATTGATCATTGGCTTTTTGCCCCTTCGCTCGGTTAATGAATAGTAACTCTAAGATGTTCAGATCCATTGCCTGATCTTTCCACCCTTGGTGAAATTCTTTAAAACATAGGCACATGTGCCCACATACACACACACACACACACACACATCATATCATGTTAGTAATAAAGGGCCTTTAGAGATCCTTGATTTACAAATGGGGAAACATGCATTATCTTTCACATAGCTTGATTCGCTTACAGCCACATACGTAATGTGAATTTTACAGTTTAGACTTAATTGAACTGATTCACTGACAGTCAGGTATATGTTAGTAATACAACCCAAATGTAATTTTTAATGTACCAGGCCATCTCCCTGAATATGAATAATGAAACTATCCTTTACATTACTAGGTGGCCTATGGACAAAATTAGACTATTAGCTAAGATTATAAAATAATTAATTCATCTAAAAAAAGTAAAATGTATCATGAAATCACTATTTTGTGCTGTGCACTCAATAATTAAGTAAAAACAATAAAACATACCAACTAATTCGACTTGGTCATGTGGGATAATGCACAGGTATGCATTTCCTTGCCACAAGACACTGAAACTTTTTATAAACCTAAAGGGGGAAATAATCACTTAAACATAACAATGATACAAATAATATTATTTCTACAGTGTGTTGTCAGTTTTTTTTAAAGGATGAAAGGATGTCTTGAAGTAGATCCTTTGACATTGTCCCCTTCTCTCCAAGGCCACCTTTATGTGTGTATGTGCATAGGGTCCTGCATACAGAAGTGTCCATTCTTCGCTCAATACTCTTCTGTCACCATCTTGAATTCTTAATATAAATAAGGACTTTGTATTGTTATTTTGCATAGTCTATACAAATTATGTAGCCATCCCCCTTCACCCCTGCTCTTTACTCTCGAAACTAACAAGTTTATGCCCCTGATGTCTCTGATATTTCTTGGCTTAAGCTCAAAGCTTGATGGCGGAACTTGACCCTTGACTCTCTCAGGTAAGGTCAACATTTATTTCCTCTTGCTCTGTGCTCCTGACCACTCCTGATGTTCTCAACACCTCATCAACCTCAGGAAACCTGAGGACACAATCCAGTTTCAGGGCTCTAACCTATGATGCCTGCTGGGTTTGCTCACACTCCCCTTATCACCCACTCAAGCAACTGATAAGAATCAAGCCATTAATTAAAAATTGGAAATTATTCCTTACAAAATGCAGTACACAAAGTGATATATACATATTTTCCATGCTTTTCTTTTATAACGTTGCACCTCACATTTAATCTTTACAGTTAGTATTCTTGTTCCTCTGACAACACACTAAGAAGCCATCTCAGAGTTACCCATTCTGCTCGCTTTAATCTTGGTTCTATTAGCTTCAGTGTCAGAAAATGATATGTTCTTCTTTTTCCTCAAATTCTGGTCGGATACTCCATTTCCAATCTTACTATATACAGATGGCACACAAATGCAGAGTC